TCGGCGGAGAATCGCCGCCAATTATAATAGCTAAAGGCTGCTGCTGCTGTCGCTGCTCAAAGTAAAGCAAAGGAAAGGAAAGTAACTCTGACTGACTGAGAGTCCACCACACTACAGTTCACTACTGTGAGTGTTTCATTCAGAGTGTAATGGCACCAGAAACAGTGAGTGAGTGAGTGAGTGAGAGACAGTGGTGCAAGGGCAGTCGTCAGACACAACACAACAGCCGAAACAGCAACTGTGACTCTATGGGCAAAAAACAGAGGCAAAGGCGGCACACACACTCACATCAGCAGCCATCAACAAGCCTCCATGAATTACTTTGAGAGAGAGAGAGAGAGAGAGAAAGCCACAGAGAAAGCTGATAGAGCAGCCAGCATCCACACACAACACACTAACCCAGTCCAGGCACTTTTTACTTCAGTGTCGTCAGCGACGAGCACTACCAACAACTGTTGTGTTGTACATGAGCTCATGAGACACTGACACTGCTGCAGCAGCAGCAGCAGCAGTTGGTGGTGGTGGCAATGTACAGCGACTGGGACTACCACTGAAAGCAGTGCTGTACAACATTAACTCCCTCTCACTCATAGAGCGGCGGCAACTCCAACTCCAAAGCGAATAGAGAGCGCAACACACCACAACAGTCAAGGGTTTCAGTCAAGACCACACACACACACACACACAGACAGACAACCAACAACCTAAGAGAGGAACATTCTCACACTTAGGAGAGAAGGAAGGAAGGAAACAGTGGTTGTTGTGCAACAGAGAGAGAGATTGCTGCTTTGGAGACAGTCAGCCTCCGAGTGTGAGTAAGTGAGCCTCGGCGACGACCACCGAGAGTGAAAGAAAAGAGACTCCTGCGGCGGAAGAGAAGTGAAAAGGAAAGGAAAGGAAGGCAAAGAAAGAAAAGAACAACTGGTGATGAGTTAAACAGAGTGAGAGAGAGTAACAGAACGACTCCAAAGCTCTCAGCTCAGAGTTGAAAAGATACGCTCTGACTGCTGCTGCTGCAGTAGTCACTTTCAACCACCGGCCACAGACGTCCTCGTCGTTGCCGTCAGTCAGTCAGTCACTCACACCGACCGAGCAAAGCGCAAAGAGGCAAAGGCACTTCTTCTTCTTCTTCTACACAAGCAGTTGTACAATTAGGGGAGACGGGCAACACACACACAACACTCACTCTGAGAGAAGACGGTGAAGAACGTTACGGGCGAGAGAATGTATGGAGAACGCTGAGGCACAGGCTCTCTGTCGCAGTGCAGTAATGGTCGCCGCCGCTGCTGCTGCTGCTGTTGTTGAGGATACGCAAGGGAGAGCGAGCGAGGCGCACAGTTGTAGTATTGGCGGCTTTGGTAATGGCTGGCTGGCTGGTAGTGTGTGTTGTATCAGCAGTAGTGTTGAGCAAGCAAGAACAAGAGAAGAACGACGAGAGGAGCAGAACGGCAAAGACTTACGATGATGCTCATACACAGTGGAGAAGAGAGTGAGTGTTCCTTCAGCAGTAGTGAACAGCGCTGTAGTGAACAGTGGCCAACAGTGCGCCTCACAATCAGTGCAACTCACTGCGAGCTGAAGGAACGCTCACCACACTGGAGTAGTGGCGGCAGAGAGTAGCCGCGCCTGTACCGCGCGCCCTGCGCCGTGCCACTGCCTCCCGAGGTGGCCGGTGTCTTTTGCCCCCCTCGATTGCAGGCTCGGCGATCCACAGCGCCAGAGGATGGCCGACGCGGGGGGCGACAGCGCGCCGATTGCAGGGCGCAGAGAAGGGACAGTGGGCGGAGTCGCAGATCTTCTCGGATCTGAGAGCGCGGGGGAGGGGCCAGAGCGATGCGCAGAGGAGGAAACGCGCAGCGTTGCAACTAACCAACCCCGACCACAGGCGAGGTGGCGGAATGGCCAGCAGGCTCGGTGGATCCACTCGCCTCGGAGCGGACGTACCACTGCCAAAGACTGTGGTGGAGCTTCAAGCTCTCTCTCTCTCACATAACTCTCAAACAAGCACGCGCGCGCAAAGGAAAGAAGAAGAAAAGAAGAGAAAACTTACGTTGTCGGTGAAGGGGCACTTTCAGCGTAGTGGCGCGGCGTTTTGTCGATGCTGCTGCTGATGGTGATGATGAGAAACACACAAAGAGAAAGAGATGATGCTGAAGGGGAGGTAACAGGCCTCGCTGAACACCAAAACAATCGATGGTATCGACCGATGGATGGACGGTTTTGCGGTAGAGCTTTGGCGGGCGTTGGATACTGGAGATTGTTTCGAAATGGAGACAACTTCTGAAGATGATGATGTATCAGTGGATGAGTCAGAGCGAGAATGCCGATAAGAAAATGGAATCGACGATGGGAATGATTATAGAAATGAACGGCGGGAGAAATAGAAAATGCGTTTGTTAGTTAGTGAACATCGAATAGAACAAAGCTGATGACGATGACGATGACATGACATGAAGGCCTGGGCTGACCTTAGTGTTTACATTATCACCACCACCACCACCGTGAATGTTGTCACTTGGGGCACATGTCATGTCATGTCACCACCATCATCTCACTACCGCCACCTTCAAAAACAGACACTTACCTCAAGAGTTGACGGCTGGTGAAGTCCAAGAGTTTTTCACTCACGGGCACAGTTCAAAACACACACTCAGAAAGGGGGTGAAGAAGGGTGGGGTGACACGACGAAACTCCAGTGAATGGAAGGTAGGTGGGTGGGTGTGGTGATGGAGGAGGAGGTAGGTGTGGTGATGAAGACACCGGCTTGCTGCTGCTTCTCCTTGCGTTTGCTTGGCGATTTCGTCACCAGCGTAGAGTGAAGAGAGTGAAGAGAGAAGTGCGTTGGGAAGGAAGGCAGCGGAGAGAGTGAGCCGCTGACTGAGAGCGCACACCGAAGCGCTGCCAGAGCGGGAGCGGCGAGCGCGCCACTTTGCACCGTCGGCGGCGCCGTCCACCTAGGGCGGTCTCCGCGGTGGCAGTAGCCGCCCTCTCTCATGCTGATTTGTTTTGGTTCGGAGATTTTTTTCAGTGAAGATCAACTTTTTCTTCTTCTTGGATTCTTCTTCGAGGATGGCCTCCAGCAAGGCTAGGGCCTTGATCACCTCCGGCAGAAGTTCGCTGAAGGAGATCAGCTACGCGCCCACGGCCTTTGCCCTCCTCCGAGGCGTCTTCTGCCTGTACAAGCCGCCGCGGAAGGGCTTTGCCAAGACGAATCTTGCTCTGCGTCAGAAGCTGGTCAAAGGTTGGTGTGATTTTTGGACAAGAGAGAGGGAGAAAGAAACTGAATCAAATGACACGTTGACATGCACTCTAAATAGGATGGCAAGACAATACTTGCAAAGCTCCAAAATAACAAAAGTTCTGAAACCGAACAACAACCGGCTTTGGGAGTTTCGATTTGCAAAATTAAATAACTTCTCTTCACTTCAGATCTAAACGACATGGAAGTTCGGCCGCCGCGAGAGCGCGTGGAGATTACCGGCGATCATCTGCTGGCCCCTCCTTCATCTTCACCTTCAGTCGATGTAGCTCCTTTCACTTCCCCTTCCACAACCACTCCACTGAAGATCGAAGTCATGCCGAACCTCGCCGATCACCCTCTGGTCAGCGGACCGCGCTACAACGAATCACACCTCTCCATCAGATTGCTAAACAACCCCGGCTGGTACGCTAGCGGCCTCGTCCTCGGCCTCATCGGCCCCGCCACCGGCCAGCTGGGACACCGCTTCGCCCGGCACCGCCTCCCTCGGGTCTACGAGCTGAAGGGGGAGCTGGGCCTGGCCACGGATAACCACCTGGACACGGGGCGGGTGGTGGTGAAGAGCACCTGGCGCCATGTGACGCGGGAGCGCTACGAGCGGGTGCTGGCGAAGATCGAAGCGGCGCAGCGGTCGGGCGTCTTCACGGTGGCCGGCGTCGACCTGCGCTCCGAGGAGGCCTACCAGATGGCCCTGGAGGGCGGGATGGCTCCGCCGAGGAGCAAGGAGACGAGTGAGTTCGATTTCCCAAACCTTAAACTCTCATAGTAATTTTCTCTGCCATTTTTAGAACCTCATGTCTACGCCCTCCGCTCTGTCCACTTTGAGCCGCCGCACTTTACCATCCAAGTGCAGGTGATCAACGAGGCGGAGGCCTTTCTCGCCGAACTGGTCGCCGAAATAGGGCTCGCCCTCCGCTCCACCGCCCGCTGCACCGGCATTCGCCTCCTCCGCCTGGGGCCCTTCACCGTGGAGCAGCACGCCCTCCTCGCCAAGCACTGGGACCTCGAGAATATGCTCGAAAACTTGGCCACCTGCACGCCGCTGGCGCTGGAGAGCGGCGTCTTTGAGCGGGTAAAGAGGAGAAGAAAAGAGGTAGAGGAAGAGAGTAGAGGGAGTGTCTTTGCAGAGGACGGCGTCGTGTTCAATCAGTAGAAGAGGGGATCAAGAGTGGAGTACAACATCAACAACAACAACAACAGTTCACCGCTGCTTCTTCGATATACTGTGATAACAGAGAAAGTAGAAATTAGTCAGTCATCAAAATAGAACCAAAATAGAATCAAAGCAGCCGTTACCTGTAGTGGTGGTGCTTCGCAAAGGTCTCCGCCACCAGCAGCGGAAAGACCAGCGTCGCGTCGGCGTACAGCTTCACCGGACTGGCGCCCAACCGGATCTTCCCCCAGCTGACCGCCTCATCCGGTCGGGCGCCCGAATCGGAGCCGTCAAACTCCTGGCCGGTGTTGACGAAGACGGCGTAGTCGGCGCCGTTTCTCTGAGGTTGAGGAAAAAAAGAAGAGGGATTTTAGAATTCAGAAATCAAGATATCAAACAATTCTCACCATCAAGTTCGCGTTCGCAATGTGGTGCTTCACCACGCCTCCTCCGAGGATGATCATGCCCGATTTTCGCGCCCGCACGGCCACCGAATTGAGCCGGCGAATGTCCGCCGCAATGTCCACCACCAGGCCGGGACTGCGAAAGCCGTGCATGTAGATCATGTCGCCCAGAGAGCCGTCGGTCAGCGCCGGACAGAAGACGGGAATGTGATTTCGGGCGGCCCAGTAGAGGACTGACTGCTCGTTGCCGATCTCCTCGCCGAGCCGGGCGATCAGCTTTGAGGGCGTCCAGGTGAGGTTTGGGTTGCGCTTCTGCTCGGCGAGCATCGCGTCCAGTATGGGCACGATCCAGTCCTCGAACTTGCAGTAGTTGTCATTGGGCACGAGGAGGTTGCCGATGCGGTTGATGCCTGAGGCGCGCAGGGCCGCTCCCGAGAGGTGAAAGGCGCCGATGTAGGTCGGCGCCAGGCACTTGATGATGTCCTCCTCGATGCCGCCGGCGGTAGTTACGAGGACGTCCACCTAAAAAAGAGGGGTTTTAGAAGAAGGTTTTGGGAAAGTTTTGGAAAGGTTTTGATGAAGGTGACTTACCATGTTATGCTGCACCAGAAAGCGAATGGTGTCTCGAATTCCGCTGCTGATCATATTTGAGGTGTAGCCGAGGAAGATGGTACAGCCGGTCCGCCGTTGAATGAAGAGGTCCTCCTCAAAGTCGTCCGCCTCAAAGGGCTCTGAACGTTCTTTAAGCTATTGAAAAACAGTTTTTAGTATTTTGAACTCTAAAAAACAGAAAAAAAAGTTTGTTACCATTTGCTCAATCTGCTCGACGGCCAGGCCAAAGTTGGTCGCCTGGAAACCAGAGGTGAGGAAGCTCTTCAGCAGCTCCGAGTAGTTGATGCCCCGGTTGAAGTCGTAGCCGGCCACCTCGGTCTTCAGCAGCGTCCTGTCTGCCTGTTCGGGGACGTTGATCACAGCTTTTTCCGAAGCAACAGATCCACCTTCTGAAGTGGAAGTTTCATTTGCTGAAGAAACTTCAGTGGTGGTTGTCGTCCGCTTCAGCACCGCCTCCTTGATTGCCCGAAGTTGAAGCTCGTCTGAAGACATCTGGTTTTCTTTTTCTTGTAGTATCTTCTGCTTATCTTCTGCTAAATCTGAAAATCATTTGACTACGACTTTTTCAAAAGATCGTTGTCAAAATTGTTTGTGTTGATTTTTCTTTCTCTTTCACGCGTTCACTTTGATTGTTGCCGGAAAGACTTCTGCAGGAGCTACAACTCTTTCTGTTCAGCGGGCTTTTCCGGAAGTTTCCCATGTGTACGTTTTGGTGCGCCTGACGCAACAAATTCTTTTTCTGTGATTATCTTCATCTTTTTTGAAGCATCAAGATGGCCAAATCGAAATACGAGTATGTTAGGGAATTCGAGGCAGCCACCGACAGTCGCCTCTTGCCCGATTCATATGTGGTGGTCCGCGTTGATGGGCAATGCTTTCACCGCTTCGCCAAGGAGCACCAGTTTCTGAAGCCAAATGATAAGCGGTGAGTTCCACTTTTTTTTGTTGGAAGTTCAAGGACTTATCTTTCCTCATTATCATCTCCACTAGAGCCCTCGACCTGATGAACAAGTCGGCGCTGCATGTGATGCGCACCTTCTACCCGAACATTATCATGGCCTATGGTAACTGCTGAAGAGCTCATCTCCCGAGTTCTATTTCTAAATCATTTCCTTTCCTTTTGGCAGGCCAATCCGACGAGTACAGCTTCATCATCCGCCGCCTGGCGTACTTCTTCAACCGCCGAACTGCAAAGATCACCTCCCTGATCACCTCCGCCTTCACCTCGGCCTTTGTCTTCTACTGGCCGCGATTTTTCTGCTCCAGCCAAAATCGGTCGCTCACCTTCCGCCGCTACGACCAGTGGAGTCCCTCAACAACAACAACCGCTTTCTCCTCAAACTCCAACTCCAACATTCCAGACTGGACGTCAGTTCCCCTCAAGTATCCGCCCTCCTTCGACGGCCGAGCCGTGCTCTACCCAAACGAGCGCACCCTCACCGACTACCTTCGCTGGCGGCAGGTGGACTGTCACATCAACAACCTCTACAACACCGCCTTCTACGCTCTGACCGGGGAGTATACTCGATACGTTCCTGACACTTCAAACTGCTCACCTTCAAACTCTCCTCCCACCACCTACAACCTCTTCCTCGGCGACCCTTCTGCAAAGGCTCCAAATCGAACCTTCTACTCGCACGCCGAGGCGACCCAGCGCCTCTCCGGCAGCAGCTCCGCCGACAAGAACGAGCTCATGTTCACCGACTACGGCGTCAACTACAACGACGAGCTGCAGCAGTTTCGAAAAGGGACGGCCATTGTCCTCACGCCTCCTCAGGCGGACACCACCACCAAAGTTGACCTTCCGGAAACTCCGGCGGTGGTGATCAAGCCGAGCAAGTCCGCCCTGAAGCGCTCCGCCAAGGTGGAGGAGGACTTTGCGGCGCTGGCCATCGACCAGCAGGAGCGCTTCTTCACCACCCTCCACACGGACATCATTCGCGAGGATGGCGACTTTTGGACTGCCTACAGTCATCTGCTTAAACTGTAACACCAAGATTTCTAAAGGGTCCAAATACAAGTCGGAGTGTATTTATCATCTGGCAAAAAAATGTGAGTGTGTGTGGGTGGGTGGTGTTCCTCTCATGTACAGTGTGATAAAGTGTGAGAGAGTAAGTGGGAGAGAGAGAGAGAGTAAAATGGAGTGCATGATAAAAGAGGAGGTACGGGAGTCACTGGGAAGCAAAGCAGTTCGGGATGGAGCTAACGGGTGAAGAAGGATTAGAAGAGGAACGGAATTTGATGGTTCAATGGGGTGTGCTGTTACTGCTGCTACTGCTGCTGCTCACATCTCATCCGCCGGAGCGTCCCAGTCGCGGTAGTGTCTGTGGAGAGAAAAAGGAAAGGAGTTTGCAATGTTTAGGTGCTCTAAAAAACCAAAAAAAAATTGGCGTGTTTGTGATCTCTGCAACTCATCATCATCATCATCATCCGCCGCAAAAGAAACAGATTTAGTTTCGAATATATCATTCATTCATTCATTCATTGACAGAGTGGTGAGGCAAAAAAAAGAAAAAGAAAGTTCAGAGAAGTGCAAGGGTAAAAGCAAAAGGAAGAGAGTGTATGAGTGCCTAAATATAAGGTAGATATTGTGGTAATCGAATAAAAAGAGATTACCATGAGAGAGCTAATAGTGGAAATATAGCAGAGAGAGGATGGGGAGACAGTGGAATTGAAAATCATATGATAGAGCCTGGCCAGAAACGAACAAAAAAGCATGCTCACACACCCATCTCTAGATCATCTCCTCAAAATCGACATCATACTCGACCGNTTGAAAATATAGCAGAGAGAGAAGATGGGAGAGACAGTGGAATTGAAAATCATATGATAGAGCCTGGCCAAAAACAAACAAAGTGCAGAACACACCCATCTCTAGATCATCTCCTCAAAATCGACATCATACTCGACCGAGTCGCGAGCAAGTGAGCCAGTGCTGCCTCTGCCACCACCACCGCCGCCGAGTGAAGACCGGCCGCCTCCGCTGGTGCTGGTCACGACAGGAGAAGCTGATGGCGGGGGCGGAGGCGGCGCCATTGCATCACCGTCACGGGCCGAGGAGGATGAAGGATGATGAGGATGATGGTGATAGGCGGAAGAAGAAGAAGAAGAAGAGTGACTTTGATGGTAACTGCCACTGCCACCACCGTAGTCAGGCCTGTAGAGAAGAGGGAAGGAGGACAGAGGGGCGATGAGGACTAGAAAACACTGCACAAACACTTCCGCTTAAGCTAACATCCCCCCTAGCCTATCCGAGTGCAGAGATCGCCAAGGGATAGTAAAGTAAAGTAAAGAAAGGCACTTACCTCGATCGCTTCATCCCATAACGATTCTCTCCACCGCCACCGCCGCTGTAGCGATTGTTTCCATAGCTGTGGCGGTTGTATCCGCCTCCATAGCGATCACCATAATGACCGCCGCCGGAAAGGCCTCCATGCATGTCACCTCGGTGATCTCGAGAGTATCCACCTCCCGAATTGGACATCATTCCACCCCCTCCCGAATGACGCCCACTTCCTCCTCGATCATGACCACCACCTGCCGAGGGATGCTCCGGCAGCTGCGGTCGCTTCGCGTCGAGGACGTAGTTGTTAAAGTAGAGCGCCTCCTCGCGCACCTGCTCCACGCGCTCCATGTGCTTGTTGAGAATGTGCTTGCG